CAGGACAAGAACGGAGGAGCCCGAAATCCAAAGGTCACACTGGATGTAAGTATTAACCATGAAGATGTGTGATCAGGCCCTACCTGGACGGATCTGCTGTGTATATGTAGTGTGGCCTTTGTAATTAAATTGGAAGAGACCGAGAATTTGACATGGAACTCATTTAAATCGTTCAGGGAGAGCAGCTATTTCCAGAAGACACATGATTTAGTAGTCATGGAAATTTTCCAATCCTGAAGTTCGGGTGGGAATCTTGGGTATGATCATCTTGTATTTACAAATCGAACGCAAAAGCTTCTTTTTGAAAGTTGCATTCAACTATGCAAATCGGTGAGCCCACCACCATCTCCAACGCAGCCCGGCTTTGGAGGAACCGTCGTTAGTGATTGTTCATCAATCAGATTGCAATTCAAGCTTCACTTCCGCGTTTTTTTTAATTTCTGATATTGTCTTTGTGTAAAGTTGCATGACTGATTATCGTTACAAAAGTATACTTTAGCGATGACTGCGATCGAGGGAATCGGGAAAGTAGATTCTACTTCACATCACAATCGCTTTCTGTTTTTATTTTATATCAGCATGCATTACTCGTTTCTTTTATTAAACCAAGATCATGAGAAGTATTAAAGCTGCCTTAATATTTCAATTAAAAAGAATATGCTCATATTGTTGGTAAATATTTCGGTCAATTGAAATATTATCTCCGCTCCTTAATATAAGACTTTATTTAATTTTATTTTGATCTTAAATATAAGACCCAAGTCTATTTTATCTCTTATATTTATTCATTTTTTTAAGATCGTCCTGTAAATAATGATAATCCTAGTTAATACACTTGATTATAAAGGATATTTTAAAAAATACAACATCTATTTATAACAAATAACTAACTTAACTTATTTTTTTAATCTACTCAAATTAGTCAACTAGCTCTTATATTCAGGATCGGAGGTAATATAATTGTTACGCAGTTATTATTATTTTTGTGTGATGAAAAGTATATTGTTTTTAACATAATAAATTGTGTAATTTCGAGAAATTCATGACAATTACATGTCAATGGGACAAAAATTTAGGATTATTAATTTTAAACCAGATAAATAGATCTGGATATTAAAAAAAATAAAAAAAAGATACTTATAATTTCAAAAAGATCAAAGAATGTTTAACTAATTTAATTTTAATTAGTGTGAGAGAATTTTATTACTGTGCTTGTTTTTTCACTCATGCCCACCAGACTCCAATACCATGATGGCATGATGCCAGATAAATGGCGCATGAGACAAATGTGGCGGATGGTTTAAATTGGTTGTTATGCACTTTAAACAGGTCATTTTATATTTTAAATTCATTTATCGTTAGCTAATTTTTTAAAATTTAAATTCATTTATCGCTGACTATATTTAGTTTGTTTAGTTTTGGATTTTATTTTGTTTAATTCCAACGTATTTCCTTTTTAACTCTTTATGTCTATATTTCAAAACAGGGAAGATTTGCGTATTGCAAGAAATTTATTAAAAAAAAACATGATAAATAAAATTTGCAATAATTTTTTTTCAAAGGCGAGCTACGATAAATCTTATTATATACCTGACAGTCTGACACCTTTCTCAAGGACATAAGGTCTTAAAAATTAGTCTTATTTTATATGTTATATAAATAATATGACTTATTATAAATTTTATAATATATATTCGTTATAAATTAATATATTGACAAACGATGTATTCACTTCACAAATTGTATTTTTTTCAATTTTATCCCTCTTATATTCTTTTTCATTTTTAAATTATTTATTACATCTTTTACTTATTCTCTTTAGTTTTTATTACTAAGGGTATATTTAAGAAAAAAATAAATATCTTACGTATTTATTATTTTAAACTGATTTTAATTAATTTTTTGATAAACATAAATGAATAAAATTTATCTTGTAATTTGAACCGGAGAGAGTATTATAAATTAATATATTGACAAACGATGTATTCACACTTCACAATCTCCATGAAAAGGACATTTGCAGCACAAATTGAAGCTGACAAGAAGCTCAGAGAGTTAAAACGGTCGGTACCAATTGTGTTGTCGACACTTTGATTTCAAGATATTGAAAATATTGAATAAATCATATTAATATACTATCTCGGATCTTAATTATAAGATCTAGTTAACTAATTGTAAGAAATTAAAAAATAAATTAGATTAGTTATTTGTTATATTGTCTTTTCTAAAATATTCTTATCAATGAAGTGTATTAGCTAGAACTACCATTACTATAAGAACTACCTTGGAAAAAAATATATAAATATAAAAGATAAAGTAGATTAGGGTTTTATATTTATGATCAAAATAAAAGTTAAATAAGGTCTTATATTAAGAATCGAAAGTTGTATTTTGATACTAAAATTAAAAGAAAATTGTTTGATTGGAGATAAAAGTAAAATTAATCATCAAAAGAAGCTAAAAAAGACATAAGTTAATTTAAAATAATTTAAAAGAAAACAATGAAACTGATATATCTTTTTCCAGATTGAATATTTTCTCTTTCACACATAGCCAATCAGATTGTGACTTGTATATCCGATCTAAACTTATCTCAACAGATTACTCTATGTAGACTAAATTAAAAGATTCTTAGTTAAACTTGAAACAAAATTACCATACTCTCCATTATGAAAAGAGATAAACAAGATCCCAAATTCCAAATATGTATGTTTTTTTATGCATGATCCTAAATTTGTTTATTTTCATTGCATTGCAGTGAAATGGAAGTTGATTTTTATTTTTGCTCTTTATAAAAATTTAATGACTAATTTATGGATATTGAAAAATAATTAAATTAATTATTTATAAAAAATGTGTATTAATTTTTTTAAAAATGTTCTTTTTAATTATTTGCATCAAACAATTTTTTTGAAGAACAACTCCTTAATACATGCGCAATCAATAAGATTTTGTTATTAAAAAAAACTATCTCTGGTCAGTAATATAAGAGCTAATCGACTAATTTGAGTAGATTAAAAAATTAGTTAAATTAATTATTTATAACAAATAGATGTTATCTTTTCTAAAATACTCCTACTAATCACATGTATTAGGTAAAACTATTATTTGATGGAATATCTAACATGTACAACTACTATAAACACTATCTTAAATAAATAAATAAAATTTATTAAAATTTTATATTTAAGATAAAATTGGACGTCAAATTAGTGAATATACAGGAGGTCGTGTGAATTTAGCCTCGGAGGTATTTGGGATTAGAGAGGGAAGTGGAACTATTTTCTTATTTTTTTTAATTCTTGATGGGGTGAAAAGGCAAATTTACTCATTATAATATAAAAAAGAAGTACCAAACACCATAATAAAATGTTAGATGCAAAAATGTTATATCCGTTAATCCTCCCAAACGTCCGTTACTTTTTTTTGTGGGTCCCACTTGTTACGTTTGTCATCCTCAAGTCCTATGCGTGTTATCCCTCCCCAGTTCATCCTCTCTTCCTCTCACTCTTCTTGCTCTGTGCTTTGATTTCATCTGCTTCACTATTGTCTCCAATTAAACAAATTTACAAGCAAGTAAGTTTCAAGTTTGCCCATATTCATAAACTCCCCCCACAAATTAAAATTGTATCCTTTAGCATTATATGTACGTGCCAAGCAAGTTCCGTTTTTGGCCGGCTTTCTATATTTGCACACTTTCTTATTATAATATTGAGAGTTTGTGTATCATTTCTTGTACTACGGCTCTGAGATTAAACTTCACCAGAGAAACAAAGCATGTATTTCCTTCTTCTGTTTAATCTTCATCTCGTTTGTTTCTATCTTCCGTTTTTGCATGATCATATATACGTACCTAAACATATTGCTTCACAGTCTCTGGTAATAGTGATAGTCCCGTGCACTCTCTCTCCTTTGTTCATCCTCTCTTCCTTTCTTTTTTTTCTCTCTCTCCATCTCCCCCTCTCATCCTTCTTGCTCTGCGACGATAGTCCAATGCTCTCCCTCTCTCTCTCTCCCCACCAGACATTCTGGTCCCTTCAAAATAGGCCACGTCATCAACTCTCGCTTCAAAATTTAATACAAGCATGAAAAAGAAAATAGGTGAAAGTAAAAAAAAAAAAGGTTAATTAATCCGCAAGTCCTTATAGTTTTAACGAATTTTGAATTAAGTCCTTATAGTTTTTATTTATTTATCAGGTCCTTATACTTTTACCTTTTTTTAATTAGGTCCTTGTATTTATTTTTCTTTTAATTAAGTCCTTATAATTTCACTAAATTTTTAATCAGGTCCATGTAGTTTTAATTTTTATTTATTAATTAAATATAAGCTTAATTAAATATATTAATACTGAAATATAAAATATTAATAATTAAATTAAATTAATAATTATGTAATAAAAAATAATAGAATTAATTAATTTAGGAAATTTTTTTAGAACAATTAATTTTTTGCTGAAAAAATTAAAATCATTATAATAATTCAATATCTTTAGAATATTATTGTTTATAAACTAATATTAAATAATATATACTATTTTATGTTTATATAATAATACTATTAGAATTTATAAAATAAATAATAAAAAATTCAGGGACTTAATTAAAAATAAGGTGAACTTATAAGGATTTGATAAAAAGAAAAATAAATACAAGGACTTAATTAAAAACAGGTGAAAATATAAGGACCTGATAAAAAAAAAGACTATAAGGACTCGATTCAAAATTAGTTAAAACTATAAAGAGTTGTGGATTAATTATTAAAAAAAATGTAAGGTGAGAGAGACACATGAATTGAATGGAAAGTATTTGAGAGACTTTCAGAGAATGATCCCCTCCCTCCTTCATCACTCTGGGAAAATATTTATGACCACATCCTCATCTTATCTCTTTCTCAAACCCAGCACTGAGTCTGAGCCCGAAGCAACGGCCAGCTACTGAGAATGCCAAAAGAACCATCAACCATGTGGTTAGCTTCAGTGCGCACACGGTCAACCGAGAGAGAGAAGAGAGAGAGGAAGAGTGGATGAACAGAGGAGAGAGAGTGCATGAGACTTGACATTTGGAATAAGTGGGACCAAAAAAAAAAGGTAACAGCCGTTTGAAAGAACTAACGGACGTGACATTTTTGTCCCATTTTAAAATATTCATATGTAATTTTGCACCTAATATTTTATTACGATACCTGGTGTTTTTTTTTTTGACAATATAAGGGGTAAATTTGTTCCTTTACCCGTTTTTGATGCACCGTTGAACTGAATCCGACGTGGCAGGCTGTAATTAACGAATAAACTAAACCACACGTCGTGGTGGGGAGCAAGCAAGGCCACCCCATTGAAGGATTGATTCAAACGCTTTCCGTCTCCACTCACAACCATTGAATGCCAATCTCTCTCTCTCTCTCTCTCTCTCAGAATCCCAAAAGCTGACTTCTTTCCCTCTGATAGCCTTGACAATGGCGACCACCCCAAGCCCTGCCTCAAACCCTATCTCCAAACCTACAGTGCACCTTCAAGACATGGAGGAGCTCAAGCGAGTTTTTAACCGCTTCGACACCAACGGCGACGGCCGGATCTCCGTTTCCGAGCTTGACAACGTTCTCAAATCCCTGGGCTCAAGCGTTTCCCAATCGCAGCTCGAACTTGTCATGCAGGATCTCGACAAGGACAACGACGGCTTCATCAACCTGTCCGAGTTCGCCGATTTCTGCCGCTCCAACGCTGCCGACGGCGACTCAGCGGAGCTCCGAGACGCCTTTGACCTGTACGATCAGAACAAGAATGGCCTCATCTCAGCCTCCGAGCTCCACCAAGTGTTGAATCGCTTGGGATTGAAGTGCTCCGTGGAGGAATGCAAGAACATGATCAAATCCGTTGATGCCGACGGCGACGGCTGCGTCAATTTCGAGGAGTTCAAGAAGATGATGACCAATAATCCGCTGGGTGCCTCTACGAATATGTAGAGCAAACAGTACTATTTCTAACTCTTTTCTCTACCAAATTCTCAGGCTGCTTCCGTTTATCGTAGGATTTCTATTGCTCCATCCTTTTGCCCCTTGGTATGATAATAATCTTCTGGTCGTGTGCCTGATTAAAAAACTCTTGATATTCTTCTTTTGACCAAATTAGAAAGTCTCATATCAGACGAAAGGAAGACGACAATGTAAAAACTTCCTATGGTTTTTAGTTTGCCATTTTTGTCGTTTCGTAACCGCAACTTCTTTGGTTGTGAATTGGTTGAGAATTTTCTTCCCCTTTTCACCTTTTGCTTTTTGTGATGCCTGAAATAGTCAGGAATGACCAATTTCCTGGAAGAATTTATGAATAGTACTTGCGTAATTCTTGCATGGGAGCTGGGAAAGGGGAAAATTCACGGGGTTTTTGTAACTGAAGAAGATTCACGGAGCGAAACTGCTCGTTTTTGTGATGGTTTTTCGAGCGTCACAATCTATCAATTTCGCTTGGGGGTTCAGGAATGTGGGTTCGTTTCAGCCTAAAAGTCAAATGATTTTTAGATTATTAAGAGATGTTGCAAAAAATAAATTTATTGTTTAGAATTTTAGAGAAAAGTTAAGATTATTTGGCCTTTGATCATAATCCTAAAAATAATTTATTTTTAGGACACTTTATACATTATGTCCTTGTCCTGGTTTAATCATTAGGACGGTGTGTATGGAACAAATACTGTTGAGAGGAGTCCCTGCTATGACGCAGTATCCTGAGAGATTAGTTTCTCATCGTTCGGGTCTGGTAAGAGGATATTCTAAACAACAACAAAAATAATCCTAAAAATAATTTATTATTTAATAATTGTCAGGTTTCACAGTATACCGGTGGTTACCTTTGCCAATACTCTCGTTTCAGATGTGGATTATTATTTTTTAAAACTTAAATCAACATGCGATAGTTTTTTAATTTTTTAAATATTTTTTTCATGAAACAGCCTAAACAAATGTTCCTTAAAAAAAAAAAATCTTGATCCCCAGTAAACAAATGTTCCTGCCAGTATGTGAACTTGTAGAAAAATAGTTGGACCACCCACTTTGCAATTGATTGTATTTATTAATGTTGAAGTGCATTAAGTGCTCTAAACAATTTTTCAATGTGCATTCAATACCCAATATGTTAAAATCTTTAGCAGCGCAATTTTTTTGCTAATATATTAAAAAGGATAAATCTCACCTCAAACTAACAAACCCATTAATGTCCATTTTCTTTTGCGACAGATAGATATTTATTTATTTTTAATACTGACACATAGCATTAGTAGGTGCTACCCTTGCTGTGCTGGGTCCTTCAAAAGCTGGGCTTAAAAGGGGCAACAAAAAAAAGAGAGAACTGGCCCAAAAAAAACAAAAAAAATAATGGAAAATAATGCTCGGCTAATAAAAATAAGAATGATATTGAGATGCATGTATTACTGTACAGTAAAAGATAACATTCAATGAACATATATGGGAAAAAGTTGGCATTATATCCATTGAAAAGAAAGTGATTTGGACATGCACAAAAAAAACGTTTGTATGAATATCAAAAAGAACATTCAATACAATTATCAAAATAATCTTTATAAATATGTAACAAAAAAAACCTTTTATAAATACTCACATCATAAAAATATTTTAAAATTATTTGAACTTATAAAAGTACTCGCATCATAAAAATTCCTGTATAAATAAAATATTGTTAATTAAAAAATTCTTTGATTGAATAAACTTGTGAAAATACTCACGTCATAAAATTCTTTTATGTTCTATTCATGCTTCCTATAATTTCAAGTTGCTATATAGTTAAAAAACACCCCACACCTCCATTTTGCAATTTCATTGAATTGAAATTTTAGTTTGTGAAACATATGCTTTATGTAAATTTAGCCTCAACGTTCAATTGTTTAATTTTAGTCGTTTGAAACGTAAGATATTTTAATATCATCGTCGCATTAAACTTGATCAAAGACATGAATGGTGCACTTTAACGGAACATTGATGTAATTATGGAATACTTATTAGTTGTCAATAAAAATATATTACATGATGGCATCATATCAGCTTAAATCAACATTCATTTGCAAAAGAATAGAATACAGTTAAAAAGAGGGATCCTTTTGATTCTTTCTTATATCCATATTCATGGAAACACGACTTACTTGATTTTATTTTATTTTTAAAATTATTTTCTAAGATGATAGCAATTAAAAAAATCATTTAAATTTTTATTATATCACTTATTTTAATCATATATATATATATATATATATATATATATCCGCCAAAGGCTTGATAAAGCTTAAATTTGAACGGACTGCTCTCTGGAGAGCATGGTTTCTCTAGTTTTGTGGGAGAGCTTTCGTCTCTCTTCACGGTCTGAGCATGATTTCTCTAGTAATGACTTTCGTACTGGAGACTTTTCCAAAGCAATATAATGCTGGTCATGATATATTCTCCGTACATGCCGTTTGGAATTGAACCACAGGCCTTCATGCCCCTTCATATAATCCCATCTTCGCCGTTCTTCTGTTTGTTCGTTTGAGTTTAGGATTTGTTTTAATAATTATTTTTTTATTTAGAACTTCATAGTAATTCTTTAAAAAAGTTCCAACAATGACACATAATTTTACTTTTAATAAAATTATGTTGCTTTTAAAAGAAAATTCAGGTTTAAATTGAGGTAAAAAAATTTCAATTCAAATACTTTGAACAGGCCCTTTGACATTTTGCTGAGTAAAGTGCAAACAGAATCACCTTTAAAAGATAAGGCAAGCTGTTTGAGTTCACAAACATAAATTATAGGGTATCTTCAAAGAGAAATAAAGAAAGGAAAATGATATTTTTGTGTGTGTGTATTCTTCATATGCCTAACTTATTTTTTTGCTAAAGCATAGGTATTGTCCTATTGGAGACAATTCTATTCGAGGCACTATCGGGTACCAAATGTGGACACCTCTCTTAACGGGGATTCGAACTTTAGTTCCCCATATAAACCTGTAATAGTTGGGCCTGTATTGGGCTTGACGTCCATCCACTATTAAATTGGGTTAGGTCATCCTCTTCAGATGTTAGCCTCGTGTTGATATGCCGTCCCAGGTATAAATTACTCTTCCGGTTTTAAATATAAGACCTTTTTTATAGTATAATTTATATTATAAAAGGGGTTTTATATTTAGGACCGGAGGGAGTATTTTTGTTTTCAAACACAGTATTTTAATTAGTTTCATTGGAATACTTCAAATTTCAATATGTGAATTTTCTTTACAGCATAAAAAATTTGGAAGACATCTTTTGGTATTACATTTAAGAATGACAGAATTTTGAAATGAAAAAAATGATAATAATTTCGGCTTCCATATTGCAATTTGCAAACTACTGGTATATTATGATGAGCTAATTTCATATACCAAAATAATCAAATACACGGAAGCATGGAAAAAACTTTGATACGTAGATTACAAAAAATTAACGGATAACTTCATGATATTTATCTTAATATCTATATCTATATCTATATCTACATCTATTTAGTTGTTTATGGGCTTTCTAATGACAAATATATATGTTTCCCATTTAAATTTGATGTGGGTCAATGCGTAGTGCTAGAGCTAGAGCTAGTGGTGTGGATACAGGCCAGCCAGCAGTGGTGCAGGCTGAAGTAGCCCATACCTTAGCAGGTTGGCATCCTGCCAAGGTCGGCTGGCGGGATAGCCTGTTGGCCTGCCTAAATTTTTTTAAAAAAAGTTATTATTATTTATATAGGTTGAACTTAGTTTGAAATATTGAAATTAGACTTGGAGTTTTAAACTTAAGTAGTGGATTATAATAAAATAATATGAGGATTAATTTATAATTTGAGAAGATATTTTAGAAAAGCTAACACATATTTTTTGTAAATAATTAATTTGACTATTTTTCTTATCCAAATTAATTAAGTAGATCTTTTATGTGTGTATTACACATGTAATTACATGAATGAGGAGATGTCAATGTGGAATTTGAGAGTCAAAATCCTTTAACCATATTGTATAATATATTAGGAATTGTATAAAAATAAAACTAAAAAAAAGAAGAAAGAAAAGCAGCCTAGCCCACAGCGAAACAGGCTGAAAATGGTGTGGGTTAGAGTAGTCTGCATCTTGGCGAGTTGGCATTTTGCCAACCTGAGCCCTCCATTTTTGGCGGGCTGATGAGTTGGGCTAGCAGGCCTAGCCCGTATTATCAGCTCTAGCCAGAGTCCATATAACAAGCGCATACACTGTTATCATGTCTCTAAAAAATAACTGCAAATCTTTAACCTACTCATACATCCATTTAATTTAAATAAATGAATTTTAGGACTACCTCTAACATATACTTAAATTACACTGTAAACTATATTTTATATTTAGGATTAGAGGTGGTATGTACTTTTAATTTTAATATATTGTATAAAAAAAGTCTGATATTAAAAACAAAAATAAACAAATGAACTACTTAGCCATGCCAACAATTATTGATCCATTTATCAACAGGGTTGGATCTAATGAGATATGCTATTCTTTCACAAAGTGAAGAATCAATATTCAAATTTCTGTTAAAAAAGACGCTGATATTTAATACTTGACAGTTTTTCAAACAAGATTGCATTTAATAGAAAAATATATGTGCCTAGTTTTAAAAAAAAAACTATTGGCACATCTGGCGATTTCCTTTTTTCTTTTGGCAGCTATTTGATTTGATGAAAGTTAAAATGAGAAAGAAAATGAGAAGGAAAATACTATAAAATAACTCTAAAAAAAATAAAAATAGTTTAATTCCAAGTATTTTTTTTCTTTATATTTTTCTTCCTGTCTAAACAAAAGTAGCTAGGGTTTAAATAGTTACCAGCCTTTTTCTTAATCAGGCTTAAGGCCGAAACTATCCTACAACTTTAGGCTCAAAATTGAGATTGTTCACCCATAATTTTCCCTTTAGAGGTCATAATCTAATATTCTCAAAGTTTTACCCCTAGCGGTGAGAATGGATATGATCTAGCCCGTATGGCAATCATATCATTACCAAAGTATTGCCCGCAATTGGCACAAGGACCAATCACATGTGGCCATGTAATTCTTAAAATCCCACTTCCCCATTAAAAAATAAAAAAATATTGGGAAAAGGACAGGTGTAACAATCTTACTGGGCTTTGTCTGAACTTGTAGATGGCCACGGTAGGCTCTCCCAGTTAAGAAATGGCACCCGCGTCCTAATGATCTAATCATCTTGTCTTTATCAACAAATTTGATCCTCTACGACTTTTGAACCGGCTGGAAGCCATAGTATTCTTCTATTATTATTATTATTATTATTTAATAACAACATTTGCTTTTATTTTCACGCAAACTAAATTTAAAATAAATATTTTTTAACCATACGTTTTTTTATAAAAATAACAATTAACAAAATTTAAATTGGTCACAATAAATTTTAATTATATATTTTTAGTGATGATCTAACATACGAAGATAATCAAATTTGAGGTAATTAAGCAAGTGTTTTAAAAGGACCGAGCCTGACTAAAAGGATCAGGTTACGTCAAGCCTTAAGTTGCGTGATAAGTGTTTGCCCTATTTTCATCCTTAATTAAACTAAAAAATAGATGTATTGTTTATAAATTTTAAATACTTTGAAGCATTATAAATTTTATTATAAAGATATCCTTGTTAAAAAAGCCAAAAGAAAGTGTAATAATGTGATTGCTTTAGAACTGTATATAAATGTGATCGCCACTTCGCAACCAATCAACGCGACTTCCTTCCTTCGTTCCTTAGTCTTTAAATTCATTACTTCTCTGCCTCCTCCTTCTTTACCTTCTGCTTCTGGTTTCCTGCGCATTGGAATCCTCCGCTTCCAAGTTTTATTAGTAAAATTCATGGCCAATCATTATCATCGTCATCATCATCGCCACCAAGCATTTGACGAGGAGTGTGATTACCTGTTCAAAGCCGTTCTGATTGGGGATTCTGGAGTAGGGAAATCAAACCTCCTGTCGAGGTTCGCGAACGATGAATTCCGTTTGGATTCCAAGCCCACCATCGGGGTTGAATTCGCTTACAGAAATATCAAAGTTGACGGTAAACTCATCAAAGCTCAGATATGGGACACCGCCGGCCAAGAAAGGTACATGCGTAATTCACTTTCCTTCTCTTCTTTACCATCTTCAGCTGATGGTTTCTCGCTCTGTTTTCTGATCGATCTTCATACCAGTGATGTTTTGTTTCATTTAGTGAATCATCAAAATTAAATAACAGGAACGGTGCTACGAAACCCCTTTTGAATCAGAAAACTCAGTTTGAAATTGAGTGGCTGCTTTTTCTGGTTTCTTCTTTTTCGTAAGAAGGGTTTGGAAGTTGGGGTTTTCATTCAAAGTGGGGGCTCCACTCAGGTTTCTTAATCCAGACGTTAAATGAAATTGACTTAATCATTATTAGACGCTGAATTTTCTTATACTTCTTTTGTTCACATTAAATTGCGTTTCCTCATACTTCCTGTCTTGCTTCTGCATAAATCTTGATTCTAAATTTGAAATGTTATCAAACAGTGTTCCATGTTTGTTTGCTTTTGGTTTGTTGTGTTTCGTTTTGGGGGCAATACTGTTGGCTTTTTTGTTGGGTGAGGCCGAAAAAGAAGAGAGGAAAATTAGGAACGGTGTTTTGGGACTTATGCCGTATCTTTATCTATAATCATTCCCACTCCATCGGTTTTAACAAGTTTAATATTCGGCTTAAAAATTATTTTTAAATTTTAAAAAATTTATAATGTTAAACAGTAATTATACTAGGTATTGTATGAAAAATGAATTTTTATTTCCGACCAGATATATAGGACATACTCATTTTTCTTAGAACTGTGTGCGCATCAATTTTTGTTTTTGGTTTTTGGATAAACATCAAATTTTTGTTGGCTGTAGGTGATGCGTACTGGGTAGTGTATTCATCTGTTATATATTATTTAAATGTTACGTTGAATTGTTTAATTCTTTCTTAGGTTGATAATTGGACCATTCTTTAATTTTATATTTCTATGTATTTACTATAATTTTAATTATTCCGATATTTCATTTATTTCATTTCACGAACCAAACAAATATATTCAACAGAAGGCCGCTGCATGGTCAAGTCGCTTGTGTCTTTTGGTTTATTAGATATGGTGTCACACAATAACTTGTTCATGAAAATAACATTTCATATCAGTTAGCTGTCTGAGACGCGTAGGGCCCCATATTTCTTCCACCTCTGTATCTACCTTTTACTTTTCAAAGTTGCAATTTCTTAAAAAAAATTTGAGAAATCAAATTTAAATTTTCTGAAAGCAATTTGTATATTGTCATTCATCGAGTGAAAAGGTCAATTATTATTCAAATTAATGTTTTGATAATGAATTCGTATTGCTTTTTGCCATCCCACTATCCCAGAAAGTTGATTTAAATTTTCGTAAGGATACCTTGTATGCTTTGTGTTCTTTTATTCTTCTATTTTTTGATAATTAATGTTTTGATTCTCCCTGTCTCTTCAAGATAAGAACAAGTATTTTTATTCTTTTTTTTTATATTTTTTTTGTTGGCTGCATGCATGATAGAAGAGAGAATTTATTTTTTTCCCCTTCAAAAAGAAGTCTTATTCAATGAAATTGAAATGAAATAATGACATTAAAAGTTGTTTAGCAAGTCAGTAGGGCTAACCCTAAATTAGAAAATCTTTAGCTATCTACATTCTTAATTAGATTGATTCTTTGCTTCTATGTGCACCATAGGTTTCATTTTTAATTAGCAAAATATTATCTTGCACTGATTCGTTCTAATGGCAATTAAAAATTTTGATTAAAAAATGGCAATTAAATAAGTCAGCTCCAAGATAGAAATGACTCTTTAGATAATGATATCCAAACATCCAAAGTATATAAAATTGTCATCCAAGCACTTAAGCAATAGCAGAATTCAAAACACACCCTCAACACACCCAACCCAACAGTGAAGAAGCACTAGAAATAACTGGTTTTTATAATTTTTAAGAGCTATTTTACTTTCTATAGTTTTTTTATTGTCAATTTCACAAGCTTGAGGTTTTTAATTTCTTAACTGGTTTATTATTATTATTATTATTATTATTATTATTATTTTGGTGGGCATATTGATGATGAATGAGGGTAGAGGGAAGCATGTGACATAAAGAAAGGTTGGTCACCAACCCTACATTTCAGCATTTTTCTTCTTTATAATGATCATTATCAGTACGGCTCATTCAGTGTTTCACTTCTCATTTAATCTATAAAATGCCTTTCCTTTCTCATACTCATTCATTGCATACTAGATTCGATCACTTTACTGAAAAAGAGAGCACTGACCAGAATCTTTTTCTTTTTCTTCAATAAATTAAAATGGGCGTCTCTTCATTTTGGCTTTCAAGACACTGCTTGTTTGTAGATACTTTAAATTGAATGCATTATGAATGATTTTACTCATTTAGAGAAAGGAATCAACTATTCTCTTTCTCGTTCCAATATGGAGTATTCAATTAATATTGACCAAAATATTCAGTTAGAATGCCCATACTTTTATTTCTAAAACTTTGAGAAGTGTGAAAATATTTTTCTTTTAAGTCTTAGAAATTTAGCCCCACCGTCTCCTTTTTAAACTTTTTTGAAGTTTCTTTAAGTATGAAGTTGTGAGTTCAAACTTTCAATAAAGAGTGTAATAAGTGCGTGATCTATAAAAAAATAATAACGAATTTCTTTATTTTTTGAATTCATACAAGTAGTCATGTACTATTAATTCAATATTTTACGGATGAAAATGTCATATACATATTTAAGTAGTTAATTGTATATGATCTAAAATTTGTCGACGATGTGCCATGCTTTGCAAGCAGTACTACAAGAAATTAGGGTTAGCCTTATTCATCATATGTGAATATTACGTATGACTTGTTACAGATTCTTTATGTTGTGCATATATTTATATTGCTTTGACCTTATTTTGCACTCACACATGTCCAATCTGCAACGCAGGTTTAGAGCAATCACGAGTTCATATTACAGAGGAGCCTTGGGAGCAATGCTAGTCTACGACATAACGAGAAAAGAAACCTACGACAGCCTCAGCAAATGGCTTAGGGAGCTCCGAGAGTATGGCGACGACGACATGGTGGTCATCTTGGTCGGAAACAAATCTGATCTGAGCGATTCAAGACAAGTGGAGGAAGAAGAAGGCAAAAGGCTGGCAGAAGAAGAAGGACTCTGTTTCATGGAAACCTCTGCATTACAGAACCTCAATGTTGAAGAAGCATTCTTGCAGATGATTACCAAGATTCATGACATCACCAACCAGAAAACCTTGGAAGCTAACGACAATATTGCCAGATACAATGTTCCTTCCGGCAAGGAGATCAGTTTGGCTGATGATGAAGTTACTGCTACCAAACAGCCTACTAATTGTTGTTCTAGGTGACACATATTGATCCAGGCCAGATTAATCCCTTGGATTTTGCAGGCTTCTATCATTATTTAACTTGACACTATAACTATATATCCTTGTGTAAAGATTTCTGAACATTTGATATCAAGTTTTTTTGGTGAAAAATATAGCAGTGAGTGATTTTGTTCTGATAGACTAATCTATGATGTTCATATAATGATAACTAATTGATATTCGTTGACTTGTCTGACAGTATGCCTTTGAGTTTTTTAACCCCCACAATTATATTCGTTGTGGGGTTTTGTTTTTTTCTTAATCGCATTTAATCGGTTTATCCCAGCAAAAAGAGACAATATATTAGTTGAAATGAGATAAGATCTACAATGTTCCTCCTCGGTTCCTTCTTTTAAGCACCTAATGACAACTTTAAAAATATTTTCACCGTCCCTTTTCCCTCCCTTCTTTTCACTGTACTATATTTAGTCACTTTTATGATTTTTATTATGATAGTTATAAATGGCACCATTCTTGTTAGTAATTATTCATTTCCACTTTAATTTCAAAATTGCATGGCTACTTGGCAGTTATCAAGAGCCGGATCAAGGGCAGTAGAATAACTAACCCTACTTTTTCCCCCAACATTTGATAAGGTTCAAAACTGAGAGAGCTAAAAAAGAGTTTTTTTTTTTTTTTGCTAAGGCATAGATATCCTCCTATCAGAGACAATCTATTCAAGATAATGTTAGGCACTAAATGTGGGCACTTTTTAGTGAAGATTTGAACATTAGTTCATCATGTTAGGAGAGTTAAAAAAGAGTTAATAAATGGACAGGATTGTTTTTAAAACAAAAAAGGGGCTGGGATGAAGGTCCAGCTTATAAATGGGCAGATTAATTAGGCTTCACGCTTTTATGGGCCTTATCAAGCCTAATAAGATAGGCCCACTAAAAGCCCTGTAAGTTGGCCCGTCATTGTCAGTCAAGCGTGGCAGGATTGGAAGTCTTCGTTCTCTCTGGGGGCAACTCTTTTACACCAAACGCAGTGGGTGGGTTCCATGGAAGCTGTGTGGTTCACTCAACGTCGAGGTCGAGGCCCACAAAACATGTTTCACGACCCGCATGTCACTCTACCGATCACTGTCCGTCCTCTTCCATAGCCTTTTCTCGTTTCTGGGTCTCCCTCCTCCCCATTTCTATCTTCTGCAAACGTTCAACTTCGCTTAAACGCTGCGTCGCGCTTAGAATGTGCCGATTGGAAGTGTATGATCATTGATTCATTTCTTCTCTCTGCTGGCGCTCATTCATTGATTCCCTCTCAATTCAGCTGAATTTCGGAGATAATGGCGAATTGGATCTCCTCCAAACTCAAAGCCGCTGAGAATATTCTCCAGCAGGCAATTCTCTTCTTTTCCCTCTATTTCTTCTTTGTTTCTATTTCGTTTCTCATGTTTCGGAAAACAACTGGTGTGGGGGGCTAATTCTGGGCGTTTCTTGATTCAGAACATCGTGGGGCTTCTTGCTTTATTCGTTAATTTTTGTATCTGCTGTTTATTAATTAGTAATTACTCTTAAGATCGTGAGTTTACTTTTTCTTTCATATCTTGTTAATGCCATTTTCACTGTATTGCAATTAACGGTTCAGATCGATAATCAAGCGGCTGAGTCGCTTCGCAAGAATGAGACGCTTCGATCTGAGGAACCTAGAATAGATTCTCGTGTCAAGACGAGCGGTGCTGTATCTTTGAAGGATCAGTTGAAGAAAAGGCCACCGGAGGACAATAATTATCAGGGGAAACTGCGTGGTGATACGAATTTCAGCCAGATTAATGATAATGATGGACACAAAGACTCAACAAGTGCACCAAAAGCCTCTCCCAAATCTAGCCCCGCGCTTACAGATGGTGATTGGACTCAACTCCTTAGTATGCCTAATCCGCCTTCAACTTCTGGGAGTAATCACAGTAATGGAGTGACAGCGCTTCGGGGTTTAAACAAGAATAACAGGAGGCAGAAGAATTTGTCTTCTAATTTATTGGTTTCGGAAGTAAAGAGGAACCAGAAGAGTGGTAACAATGCGTCAAAGTCTTCACCGAAGTTAGGCACTGTCAAAGAACTTAACTTGAGTGGAAAAGGTAAGGCTAGTGATGGAGAGGAGTCTACCTCCTCAGGTTCAGCTGAAAGGCACTCAAATGTAGAATCAGAAACTGATGGTAAGCAAGCAAGAAAACAAGGATTGGACAGTAAAGAAAGTGCTGCAAAGCATGTGGTAGAACAAGATCGTAAGGAAAATGAAGAAAATGGTTCCTCTGTGGAATATACTAAGCTCTCTCAACCGGCATCTTTACAGTCACCTACTAATATGCAAGATGCAAAAACGGCTGTTGAGGTTGCTCGTGGTCAATCAAGAAGTACAATTAAGGAGAAGGATGGACTTAATGCAGTCTCGGGAAATTCAATACCTCATGATTCGAAAACGGTTTCTTCCGCATTAAGTAATGTTTCTGATTCGGATTCAGACTTCAGTTCGTCTGGTTCTGAAAGTGAACGTGAGAGGGAGGAAAGGAAAAAGCGGCGAGAGAGAATTCTAGCTGAGAAAGCAGCAGCTAAAGCATTAGAGGCTATCAAAGAACGGGAGGATATGGTAGCCAAATTGGAGGGTGAGAAACAAAGCTTGGAGAAAATACTTGAGGAGAGAGCTAAACAACAAGCAGAAGAGGTAATGTTATTATTACAGTGCTGCAAACTACTACTCCTCTTCTTCTTCGCATTGTAATGTTTTTTGCCGAATGTACTTTCAGACTGTAGGATATTAGTTATTGTGGGGAAATTTCGGATTTTCCCCCTGCTTTCCTTTCTTGGTAATTTCATGGGAGATTTCTTTCTTTTGGTATTAAATTATCTCATCCTTTATGGTGTAGACCTCTGTAATTTTACTCTATGACTGTTCTGGTTAGTACTACTTCTTTTTCTTTTTCTTTTTGTTAATTATTTACTCAATTTTTATATGCTCATCCCTCAGGCTTCACAGCTGCAAACCACTATGATGGAAACAATGGAAGCTGCTGAGATAGAAAAGCAAAAACATAATAATACTAGAATGGAAGTCCTTGCACGTTTAGCTAAGCTGGAGGTATTTCCACTCAATCAAACCATTTATGTGCCAAATATTAATCTTATGTAATGTTTCTCCTATTACACGTTTTAGTAGATAATGTTCTAGTAAATAAATCATGAGGAGTATGTTGAAATTTGGTTTTCACGAACGACTTGATTAATTTTGTTGATAAATGTCTGGGATGTTTGCAGACAGCAAATGCTGATCTTGCAAGATCCCTTGCAGCTGCTCAGTGGAAACTTGGAGTAGAGGTATGTTGATCCTCGCTCAGACATACTTCCACCTGGGATTTGTGTTTCTTTCTTTTTTTTTTTTTTGGTTGGAAAAATTTTGGAGAAGCTCCTGAGTACTTTGGGGTATTAATTCACTGACGATGGTATTTCTTAGAGTTACTTGACTAAGCTAAATATTGTTTTCTAGTCTTGCCGTTCTGTTAACATCCGTATGTTTATAAAATATTCCGGTTAGAATTGGTCTCGCAGATCTAATTTGGTTGTAGGCTTTACACATTTGCTTACCTGGGCATGGCATGTTGGCTTGCTTTTCCCTACCCACTGGTTTCCCTTATCTATATTTTTAATCAAATTCAAGTCACCTGAAACGTGCAGGGAGAAAATGCAACTTAAATACTTGAAAGCCTGTACGCAGATTACTTATTTTATATCTTTAACATATTGAAAGAACCACAGCACGAGAAGGAGTGGAGTAATCAAATCCTATTCAAATCTTTTAATTTGTAATGGGCCTCAAAGCCAATGTTATGAATCCAAGGCTAAATGGAAGTTGTGCTAAATTGTTGTACTCAGAATTTGAATTTTATGATCCAAAACAATAGCAAGTCACAAAATTATAGGTAGGTATTAATTGATGCTTGAATTGGCCATGAATTCTGCAATTCAAGCCAGTATAGCAGAATAATATGACTCTCTGATTCAAAATTGTGTGAAAGCAATAAATTGTCATGGAAGTGTTGTATTGCTATTAAGTACTTGTGCCTTCTATAAAGGAAGAAAATGATGTTATTTGATATTATTTGAAGAATTAACTGCATACCAATTATACGATTTATGAATAAATTTATGACTTATGTGGAAGTACTTATCCTGGGCCCATATGACCTTTTCTATTTTAGGCATATTATGAAGATATATGTATATGCCATGTTTGATTATTCAAGATTTTTTTTCCGCCAGCGATTATTTATTTGTTATTTAACCATATGATCTAATATGCTTTGCGATTCATGATCCATATAGGTGTTTTCCAATTCATGATGCATACTCGCACAATGAAATTGAATTTACCGAACGTGCTCGTTTGGATATAATTCATATCTTTGGGTCATTTTTAAACTGCTGAAGAAGGTTAAAATATAATGTATTAACTAGTGATATCTTCTTGAACTAGGCTAAACGAGTGGCGGAACTCCGACAGCAGATTGCGTCAAAAGAGTTGGTTCATGAAGGTAATGTCTCTGGAATTTAAAATATTGACTTATTGATAGATTATCATTTCTTATCAGAAAACTTAATTTTTAAACCTCATTCCCGATGGTACTACAATATGCTTTTCTCGTGAGATCTGTTATTAAGTAAGTTTTGTATACTATTACTACCCCAATTTAGCTCCATAGCATATTAATGTTGCACAATTATCTTTCCATGCAATACGGAAAATTAGCATAGGCATTAAGGATCTGATGTTCTTTGATGCATATGATCATATTCATAGGAACGTCAAAAGAAATAGATTTGTAAAATATATTCATTTGCAAGAATGTAGGTACAAGTTGTGGTGGTCACCACGCAATCCCAGTCCTTATATAGAGCAAAAATGTGGATCAATGTGATTATAAGTTGTGAGTCCCATACACAGCTGCATTCTTTTGTGTCACCCTATGTCTTCCAGTCACTGGTGAAAATTGTATCGGCTTTTAATTTATGCATGACGCATTGGAGTTTTGATAAAAGTCAATATTATGCTGAGATGAACCGGTGTATTGATGATTTGATCTTTTTAAAACTAGAACTCAGGAGGAGTATCACACAAATCCTCCTCAAACTGGATCTTCAAAAAATCAGGCAAGTTATACTCTTCATTTGCTAAAGCCGGTTTATAAATTTTTTGGATTTTTTTTTGGGGGGGGGGGGCAGGGAAGGTGGCTAACGGGGTGTTTATTTTCAATCACTTTTTAGTTTTTATATCCATATTTTCCTATCTGTAAGTTGGAAACTCTGTTGCCTTCTCGTTACATCAAAATCAAATAAATTGTTTAATAATAATTTGGACTACCTAATAAGACTGTAGAAAGATAAGGAAGCACTCAAAGGATTCATGCTTAAATATTCCTGGTTCTCCATTTTTCTGTACATGTGTCCTGGAACGTCTTGTTGATATGATTTCTTTTAGATGCAAAATTATTTAACCTGTTCACTGTAGGCCAGGAAACTCGAAGCTGATATTGAATTAATAAGGAAGGACATGGAGGAGCCAACAGAAGTTGAAGTTGAGCTGAAGCGAAGGCTTAGTCAGATGACAGATCATTTAATTCAAAAGCAAGCCAAGGTGTGTCTTTCACACATCCAATGTAATTTTCCTTTCTTTTTTTTTTTTTTGGACCTGAAGGATTATTTGTTCTGCATGTGGACAGGTTGAAGCCCTTTCCTCAGAGAAGGCAAGTCTTGTATTTAGAATCGAGGTATGCTGCCAACTTAAGATCACGCTGCAAATTCTCGAAAATTTGAAAGACACTTTTCTTTTTGAGCAAAAAATTTGAAGACACTTCAATTTTCAATTTTCTGAAACAACTTTGCAGACACTGTCAAGGCTGCTGGACGAAAACATGTTGGCATCAGGAGCGACTAACATTGCTAACGCCTCCTCATCAATTGACTTGGAATCAGGGATATGGCAACTCTCTAATTCAAAGTTGAGGCCTATGTTGCGAGAGAGGTATCACACAGGCAAGAAACAGTTGGGGTCACTGCTTCGACAATTAGATCATGTTTTTGTGTCCGGCGCCCTGTTCTTGAGAAGGAATCCGACGGCAAAAATATGGGCTTTGGTTTACGTTATTTGCCTTCATTTCTGGGTGCTTTATATTTTCTTGTCACATTCTGGGGCTTCTAACGAGGGTAGATCAGGCGCTGTGATGTCTTTGGAAAACATTAACCACACTGGAGGAGTATGAATTGGTTACGATGCCTTGTTCCTTGCATGGCTTAGGCTTACCTCACCTTTTAGGAGGAGTCTTTCATTGCATTCATTGAATGTTGAATATCAAGATGAAAGCAAATGCTTGTAAATATGGGCATTGGCTGACCCCTATGCTACAATTTATATTCAGTGGGGAGCTGAGCATGGACCAGACTGGGCTTGGCTGGTCATTAGGCCGTGGTCTAGTCTAGTTAGGTTTCCAAGCTGCTTATCTCAGCCTGTAGACCGGTTCAGCCTGTTGATAACAGAATTAATTGACGGTTAGGTTGAGGATCCCCCCAACCTAAAATTTTAGAATAATTCACATTGGGAAAAGTATAAAACAGTAAAATAAATTAGAATATATAATGTAATTGTTATTAATAAAATTAAGATAATGATTCAAAATAACAATTAGTACATTACCATTGTATTAAAAAATAATCTAAATATTTATTTTTTCTAACTTTATGCAATGTTTCAATTTAGTTTTTTATTTTAAAAAGTATATTTTTAATTCTTTAATCTTAAAACTATTAAAAAAATGATAATATTAAAATCTTAAATTATATCAACATTTTCAAATGCTAACATATTCATCTTAATTTTCTGAACAACTGTAATTATTAAAAAAATTATCATTTAAAGCTAATAATTTTAGGGGTAAAAAACTAAAAATGTTTTTTTAAATTAAAAGTCCAGACTGAAACAATGTATAAAGATAAAAGATTAAATGTATACTTTAGTGTAAAAATAATTCCATGCTTGAAAAAAAAAAAAACTCACTGTTTAGGTCTGAAAAGCTGATAGCATTAGACATTGGCAAATGAAATGATAAACAATTGATTACATGGCATGAACAAATGACTAAAATTTGTCTTCACGGTCCAACACTCCTCTGTGTAACAAGCGTCAAAAAGTGCGATGAAGTGAATAAACATCACAATGTACAAGGTGCCCTTGAAGACACGTTAGAGCAAAACTATTCATGAATCATGACAGCTACAAGTTCAGCGTGAAGTTAGTAGACTTTTGACAACAAATGCAACAGCCAAGTGCTAACCCATCTTCAAAGCATCACCGCCTTGCCCCTTGCTCGTTCTACACCTTGCAAACACAGATCATAATAAATTAACAGAACATTTAATAGCACCATCAATGATAAGATGCGGCAGAAAAAATTTCAGGCATTTATATTAAAAATGATTTAGACACTACAGTATGTCCAAGCCAAACAATTCTGCAGTGCAATTTTCACTTACACTACCATGACACCCTTCAGGAAGAAAACTTGGATGAAATTAGAGTTTTTGACAACATAAAAAATCCAGTCTGATGCAAGCACTAAACAATTTGAACACAACATTCGTTCCACAGTTATATCCTGATGAAGTTGATTAGCCCCCATAATGAAACGAGACCTAGGAAACTGATAAATTTGCAACATCACACGCAGTCCAAACAGGAATTCCAAAAAGTTCGTCTCAACCAAGTTGAAGCTAAAGCCTAATGATTGTCTCTTCAAGTATGCTTGACACTTGATTAAATTAATGAGCATCAACATTAAAGGTCAATTAAACATATCCCAACTCATTAAACCTTGAGCGCAGGTGTACGAAGATTCTAGCCAAGATATGCTTTGCAAGTACCGACAAATTGTTACTCACCAATTTAGTCCTTCTTGTGGAAGATTACGATTGTAGAGTGGGAATTCAAAGAGGAAAAATGTTTTGCACCACGAGGGCAAGCTTCCATAGACAGAAGGGAGCACCGGAATTAAAGGGCTGAAACAAAGATTTGGCTTAGTTGTTTCTCCTTAAAGATACACTGAAACGCAAATAATTACATGGAGCTAAGTTTAACCTTGTCCTTCGTTTGTATATCCGATATGCTTCCACATTTCCATACTTCTTATCTGCCGATTCCTGTTTCGATTTATTCAATCATCCATCAGCAATGTCAAAGAATTGCAGCTCCATTTTGAATAAGTCAGAGATAAGAGGCAAACCTCAAGTAGTGGAATGCCACTGACGAAAAGAAGCAACAATGTGACAAAGATCGGTCCAAAGATTACCAACCATTCAGCACCCTTCAGAATTGGTGCAGAGGCCACAAAAATTCCCCACCAGAGCAGAATCTAGTTAAGCATTCATGAAGTTCAAAGTTAAATTTTGACAGAAATTTCCAATACAAGAAGAGATATCACTTGGAGAGAAACCAACGTACAAGAGGATAATAAGACAAACAAGAAAAATCTAAATGGTCTATTGTAAAGCAAATATCTATCATGATGAGAATATAGTCAGCTAAATGAATATAATTACACAGAACTGTAGAAGCAAAAGAAGAGCATCGAGCAGTTGCAGCATCAATTCAGAAACAGTGGCATTTGAGAACAAAGACAGCACTAACCTCACCAAAATAGTTAGGATGACGAGAATATCTCCAGAGTCCGACGTCACACCATTTCCCTCTATTTTCTGGAGATCTTTTAAAACTCAATTTCTGCAGATCTGCTGTAACTTCAATTATAAAACCCACACACCACATAATCCACCCCACTACATCCTCAGTCTGCAGAAAAGGATTTCTGTCACTAGCATTGACCACTGTAACAGGTAAGCTCACAGTCCAAACCCAGACAGCCTGCAATAGTCAAACAGAATCCCACAACACATCAGACTGTATATTATCAGGCCAATATACTATTTCAAACCCTCCCGGGGGGGGGTGTGTGCGGAGAGAAACCTGAAGTGTCCAAAATACTGCCAATTTTCCCAGATTATCACGCTTGTCGTCAAAACGGCGATCCTCTCCCCATTGCAAAATCCTAGTAAGAATATTTAGAAAATACATATGATAAGACATACACAAAGAAACACTCCAACGTACAGTGGTTTGGTGATAGGATGCTTGCCAGTTGCTATTGTTAAAGGCTGATACAATATTAGCAATAGAAAGTGGGATAGAACTCAAATGTTGAACAACAGTTAATTACTTAAACATCCTGCAATAACTTGCCCCAATTGCATTATGCGTCACAAATTGCCACATGGTTAAGAAGAAATGCCACTAAAGTTGAGGATAGGAAACAGTGTCAGGCAAGGTATATTATGTTAAGTGAGATTGATTAACAGTCTTATGCAACATGTCACACATAATTAGGACCACAGGGGCTAAGAGTTTAAATGAATTACCCAACATACTTGATCAAAGGGAACTTTAAAATCTGAAAACAGATTATCTTATATATCCTATAGCTACCACTTAATTCCTCTTCATTTCCTCACTTCAAGAACAAGATAACTATGCAAGACATCTTCATTTTTCTGCTGACAGTAATGTGTCCAACAAACCTAAATAAGAGGAAAAGACCCAAGCGAAGACCCCATAACACAACAAGCAAAGACAGGATTACCTGAAAAAGAGAGCGGTTTATCATGGGGACAGATGGCGGGAGCTTAATATAATAATTCACCAGAAAGACATCAAAAGAAAATTATACCTGTCGAAAATACCATGCACTTTTCAGGACGAGGGTCAATATAGCAAGTATTATGAAATTCGTGCTTCCTTTGAAGAGAAAGAAGGAAAAGCGTTAATTGAATGTTTGTGTAAGGTGTCAATGGCTACAGAGTGCGTTCGTTGATTCTACACTATCATGCCATTTGCCGGTTGCTCATTCAAACCTCATCCCCTTTCCCCAACAAAAAGAAAGTAATTACCCTTTAAACACATCAAGCCAAAGGGAGACACACATCCGCGCTTACAAATTACTTATCTTTTTCTCTCATTTCTCAGTAACCAAACAATCAAACTAAACAATCATAAGGCGTAAGAATCACAAACACAAGAGCCACGCCAGAAAAGACGACTGACGTACCCGCAAAATCAGTGATTTTGTCGAATTTGAGTAGTGCAGTGATCACAAAAAACACAAACTGATATCCAATCTGGAGAGCGAGACGAACAAAAAAATGGCACACAATCAAACCAAAAGACTTCAACTTTCACGAAAGAAAAAACTAGGAAAAAACGAAGTGGCGATGGATAGAGAATTACAGTGACGATGGCGGTGAGGGCTAGAAAATGGGAGTCGATAACAGTACCCATGGTGTTACTTTTTGGCAAGTTAGCTTTCTTGCTTGGTAAGGTGTTTGTGTTTCAGAAGGGAAGAGGCCAATCCAATGGAGTGATAGGCACACCTTGCTAACGAAGAAGACGAAGAAGAAGAAAAGAAGCTTGTGGTTGAGATTTCAACACGGAGGTGTCATGAGGACGAAATTATCTTTGCCAGGCGCATGCCCGCTAAATCCCATGCCGGGGCCGGTCAAACCAGTGTCCCAGCAAGTTTTCTGGTTGATCAGGTCAAGAATTTCGAACCGGGAGAGTTAAATTATATTAAAAATCCTAATTATAAAAGTTAATTTACTAATATGAAAAGATAAAAAAATAAATTAAATTAATTACTTATAATAAATAGTTATTGTTTTTTTTAAATATCATTATTAATCAAATGTATTGGTTAGAACTACTATTAGTAGAGGGTACCTTAAAAAAATATACAAATATAAAATAAAATAAAATAGATTAAGATTTTACATTTAGGATCAAAATAAAAATTAAATAAGATTTTCTATTAAATAGCGAAAGTAGTATTGTTTTTTTGACCTGGATAGGATTTGAGCTAAAAAAAGATAACAATCCGCTTTTACTAATTATTTTATTAAATTACGTGTAATTTATATTCTTTTAAAAAAATAACAATCCGCTTTTTTAGAATTATATAAATATATTTTATATATTTTAATAATCATTGGTTGATCCTAGGGGTGTTCAATTTGTCCCGTCCCGGTGAGTTTGGGACGAGATGGGACGGGACAAAAAAAATTTCAGAACGGGACAAAAACAGGACGGGACGGTACAGTAACCGGGACGGGGTCGTCCCGTCCTGTCCCGGGATTTTTTTTTCTTTTAAAAATTATTTATTAATAATTATTATTAGATTATTCAATTTACTTATTAATAATAACTCTTATTTTTATGGTGATTTATAGCTCTTAAGTTGTAGTATTATCTCAACAAAATCTCCTTCCTCAATAAAATAATTCATAAAGTCATTATATAGTGTTTTTTTTTACGGTATTTTTTTTACAGTATTATTTTTACACCTGTTTTATGCTATATAATTAAACTTTCTACATAATATTTTTTATAATGTTTTTATCTTTAAAAGCCCAATAAAAAATAAGTATTATAACATAAAAAAATTCATATAAAAAATTATGGTATCTTTTTTTTAAAAAAAAAAGGGAAGCGGGACGTTCCGGTCCCGTCCCGGTCCCGATGGGACCGGGACAAGACTGGGACGGGACGGGACACAGGACAAAATCCCTGTCCCGTCCCTGTTCACCGGGACGGGCCTGTCCCGATCCCGTCCCGTCCCATGAACACCCTTAGTTGATCTTGATCCCATTCAAGGACCACTGATTCTGGAATACTATCTCTAACCGGTATAGTACCTTAGCCGCCAAGCAATTCCAATCGCCACTTTTCTATACCTATTTTCTTTAGTTATGTAAAAATCTTCAATTTTACATACTATCTCCAATCTTAATTATAAGAGCTAATTGACTAATTTAAGGAGATTAAAACAAGAAGTTAAATTAGTTATTTGTAATAAACAGATGTTATATTTTCTAAAATATCCTTGCTAATTAAGTGTGTTGGCTAGAATTATTATTGTTAGAAGGAATACCTTAGAGGAAAAAAATATAAATATGAGAGATAAAATGAATTGAGATTTTATATTTAGGATCAAAATAAAAATCAAATAAAATCTTATATTAAGAAGCAGGGGTAGTATAGTTAAAAATAGGCTGCACATGATTTGAAGATGAGTTGTACTCGCGGAAAATAAATCGCTCATGGCGTTCAACAAATCTCAAATACATTTGGAAAATAAATTTTGTACTAGGAGTTTCCTCAGTGATTTTTCTCGACAATTTGTTGCTGGCCAAGAGGGGGGGAAAAAAGATCATTATTTTACTGCTTTGACGGTTGACTTCTTTTACCAATCAACTGCCCGGAATTGTTGAGGTGCAAATGACGAAGCAAAAGAATGAATATTACTTACAGATAATGTAATAATCTCCAAAATGAAGTCAAAAGTCATTAAATTAAAGAACTTTTTGTGAAAGTGAAGGAGCAAGGTGCTAAGTGTTAACTAAGCAGGAGCAATGGAAACTCTTTCAACCTCAACAACATATTCAAGTGTAGCCTGAGCAGGGATCTGAACTCCATTCCCTAAATCAGCACCGTCGTCTCCAAACCCTAGAGATGGAGGCACTATCACTCTTCTCTTCCCTCCAGCTTTCATGGACTTTATCACAGTCTCTACCCCTTCACACAGTCCCTTGCTGTAAGGCCTTGACCCCATTACCAGAGCCAGCGGCTTCTTCTCCTTCCCAAATGTCTCCACAAACACTTGCCCGCTCTCTCTTACCTTCCCCTCTATGTCTATCACCACCAAGTCCCCTGTCCGTGGCGTTGCTCCTCCCCCAACCTTCAGCTCGTAGTATCTGCACAGTTTTGGAGAGCTTGTCAGCTACAATATTCATGGGGCTCATCTGCATTCGATTCTGTGTGTGATATATATTACATTTAAAAACAAAGGGCAAAATTAATCGTTTAATTCATCTAGTTTTGACTCTATTAGAATGTAAATGACTGAAAACTTTAGGGATTGACTTAGAGTAGTTGAAGATTGATGTATATCTAGGCTCAAATTATAAGAACTAAGTAATTGTTTTCGAGTTGGAAAATGGGGTTTATCTGGATTTTTGCATGATGATATACACTCAGAAGGATATAAGGGTGAATAAATAAAAAGGAAAAATGAGTGTTTCCTGAACAATTATATTCGTTTGTGTAGCTCTCTTTCAATTCATAATTTTATGACAGGTTATGATTAACGTGTCTCAGATAATTGGGATGGTTATGATTTGTTCAGAGTAATTTATTTGCTCTTGACAAATTCAGATATACTAGCAGAGTAAGATGATGTACCTTATGCCGTTAGGGAGGACCACCTCTTCCTCCTTCTCCACTGTCCTGTAAAAGCATCAATGCCAGTGTCTTGTCATCAAATACGGTGCGAATTTTCCATGAAGTTCCATATTCAATTGCAGAAAACTAATTTCTTGAGAGCATATGGTATAACTCGCTAATTTTTCCAATAAAGTTGTTGAAAACCATCATTCTTGGGGGATAATTTGCAGATTTTCTCAGTCTTGTTCTCGTTAATTGATAAGTAGTTTTAAAGGAGTGGGAAGCTGATTTGCAGGAAAATTAAAGCTGTGCTAAATCAATTCCATATTCCACAATTTTGCAGAATATGCGGCTACAAGAAAACAGACCTTGTGTTAGCCTCTTGTTGAGAAACCTCAAGGCGAGTCTTGATTTGTTCAGAGACAACGCCTACGGCAAGAAAAGCAACCCAAGCAAGCCCAGCTCCTAGCCCGAACCTTCTTGTTAAAGAGGTGGCCACCCAATCTGTGGAATCAGCCTTAGTGCCAGATGTAAAAGATGAAGATGACGATGAAGAAGAAGCCACAGGTTTAATGGGCTTCTGTTGTTGTGCTTTTAGAGAGCCCGGTACTGATTCTTCAGGCGACTCAGTGCTTAACTGTGAAGCCGATTTCTGGGGCTGAGGGTCTGGTGAAGAAGAAGGTGGCGGTGGCGGCGTCGCCGACGATGATGAGATGTGATGAGTTCTTGTGGTGGGGAGGGAGAAAATGGGTGGAGAAACGAAGAAGGAAGCCATGTTCAAGATTTTAGACCTCAAGATGCAAAATGCAGAAAGAAATATCTCAGATTCTGATTACTGGTTCGCTTTTGTCCCCACCCTATCTGGATTTGAGGGAATCCCATCCATTGCATGCAAAATGAGAATGGATAGGATTTAGGGGTAAAAAGAACTCGTTTTATATTTTCCTTGAATGTTATAATAATAAATGCTTAAAAACAACTAAAAACTGCTTTTTTCTTTTTTCAATGGAATGTTCCTTTGCATTTGCCTCTAATGATTGGATGAATGCAAATTCACCGGGGAACAGATTCCGGTTATCTCAACGTACGAATGAAAAATGGAGCTGACAAAATTACTTACACGGAAACACGTTTGTAGTTCAAAATTACAAAATAGAACTTGGTCATATTAATAGTTAAGTACATGTTTCATATAACACTTAACCTCACAGTTAACTGTTTAAAAACGAAAGTGAGATTAGCTCATGGTTCGAAACAAAGAATTTACACTATTAAGAAACACGTTTAAGTGAGATTTTCCAGATCACAGTACCGTCTAAAACTGTCAGTCCAACGAAAATTTTCTGGTAGAATCAATGAACTGACGTTGTAAATGGCAAGGGGTGGTGACATGGAGAACTATTGCCCTGTTGTACGAGCATTTCATTTGACCAAACTGCACAATTTCACTACTATTTCGATTAGAACAGAGAGTAAAGCATTGCTTGGCACAAACAAATCAGGCTCACAAAGGATTTACACGCTTTTGCCCAATGTTTCTGTTCTCTATTGACACCACCAAACAGTTTCCGCCTCAATAGGTTACTTCTTTCCAAGTTTGGAGCAGCAGTTTCTGTTGAGTATATCTATGCACATCAAAATTTAGGCATTGATTGCAACTCCCAAAAGAATTTTGTACAAAGCAAATGACAAAACCTCGACAATGGCTGCACCACAGATTGCAGAACAAAAACTGGAACTGAAGAGAGGAAACGAATCACAGTATGAGAATGCATGTTGGGTCATGGTCTTCAATCAATCTTCCTTTTTTCTTCTTTTATATGCTCATTCGTGATGCTTTACAGCTTGCCCTTTTTCTTTCGGCAATAGAATGAACAAATATTCAGTTAGCTGTACAATTTTTTCCTTATCCTGCTGCGTCTTCCACAACTCGCTTTGACTGTGCACCAGACCTGGCCGCTTGAGAACTCACAATCGGCTTTTGTAATGGCTTCAGAGCAGCCATGATCTCAGCAAATGTGGGTCTCAGCTTTGGATCTCTACAATGCAAAAAGTCATTTATCGAGTTATGTAGCTGATGCAGAAAGAAATCATTATTAATGCATATGATAATCAAAATAAATTAGCATTTGGATTAGTCATCTAACTAATAACTGTAATCGTTCGATTGTAAAGTTTAGGAGCTCATCCATATGATCCCAGAAAGAGCTCTGATAACCATCAATGAAGTTTGTGGTGTAGTGTGCACTCACGTCTGCCAGCATTTCCTGATAATATCAGCAACGGCAGGATCCATATTGTCAGGAATGTCAAGCCGGCGATGTTGGAAACCCACGGCTCCGACAACTTGCATTGGATTCATTCCTCCCCATGGCTGCTGCAGCGTCAAGAGCTCCCATAGTATGACTCCAAAGCTATAAACATCACACCTGTATATCGGATCACAAATAAATCTCAGCATGAAACACAAAAGGGCTTGAAAGTGTGTCTTTTGCAAATGCAGAAAGTATGTGGCTACAATTGGATATTAAAATGTGAAGCAGTGCTGTCTGAAACGGACTCTAATAATATATAAGTTGGAAGGTCCCTGTAAAGTGTTGGGTTGAATTACTTTCAGCTTGTGTTCAGCTGGCATTTCATGTAAATGACAAGTGAAGAAACGGAGATAAAACGGAGGATCAGAATGGCAACAACTATAGCAGTAACGGAAAAAAAATATTACTTTTCATTTGAAGGTTCATTTCGTAACACTTCTGGAGCCATCCACTCCGCCTGAAACACAATATACAGCAGAGTAACTAATATATCGAGTTAAAACCTTCTTTCTTTGAACAAAATGATTTGACCAAGCAAGAAGAAAGAACATTGTAGGCTATGACAAATCGTGCACTTTCCCAGAACATATCTGATATACCACAATAACATAATTTTAACCCATTGTCGACCTAACATATAATAGTAAAACTCAACCCTACAACTTAGTACTGCTAGTTCAACCAAGTTAACCATAATCCTAACTTCTATTTGATTCATATACCTTCTACAGTCCAATTTCATACGTATCCTTTACACCTCATTTAAAACTTGCCATTGATATTAAGGTAACACCCCAAGCAACGCAAAATTAACATTGGAGATATGTCAGAGTCCTATTGTGTGAACAAAACTTAAACAAAATATGCGACCCTATGAAAGAGATCAAGAGGCCAAACAAGAGAATCAAAGAAAGCAAATCAATAAAATTGAAGGAAAAAGCAATTAGGCCAAGGAAATAAGGTATGTGATAGTTTACAGTCCCAGCAGTTGATCGGGAAGAGAGGAATGTACTATGCTTCATTCGCGATAAACCAAAATCACAAACCTGTTTAACGGCCAGAAAAAATATTGTCATAAAACTTGAGAATTCACCATGCAATCAAGGAATCATAAGCAAGGGCTTAGAATGACACCTTCACAACCCAGTTTTTGTCTACAAGAAGATTTGGGGACTTCAAATCACGATGGACTATCATTGGAGAGCAGTTGTGCAAATAATTCATTCCTCGAGCCTGTATATTCAGAAGGGGGAGGTTATGTATTGTGAGAGTCACAGGGAAGCAAATATTTATAGCAGAAAATGCATTAAAACAACAAATCTTACAGCATCGAGGGCCATCCTCAATCGCCTTCGCTCATCTAATTGGCTGTTAGGACGGTGAATTAATCTATACAAACTGCCTCTGCAAAATGTGATATGCATCTCAGTAGCTGTATAATAAATAATACCCAAAAACCACGACATTAATGAAACAAAAGCAGAACCTCAGCAATTAGTAACTTGGTTTAGTAAACTATGGTAGTATAGCACATAAAATATAGTAATACCTTTACATCTGTCTAGCAGATTAGCAAATCCAGTGTTTTGAAAAACAAAGGTATTCATCTACCAGAACATAAAATGAATTGGGCAACATTAAAAAATAACCGATATGTTTCTCCCTAGAGAATTTCAATTATACCAAAAGTTTCCCAAATTTCCTTACCTCAAGTCACGGCAGTTACTAATGGGTATTCAGAGTTATTATTCATGACTTCCTAAATGTGAAGTATTTATGGCAAATGCCGCATCATGCAGGAAGTAGTTTGGCAAGAATTTTTGGATGATATAACTATTCCTTTTCCTGAGAGGACGCTGGCAGAATAAGCTTGTGAAAAATGCAAATTAGTGTATTACAGCCTCTGATTGGCCTTAATAAGTGAAAAATTACAAAATACCTGGGAAGAAATTCTGTAACAATTGACAGATTTGGAGGTCGAATTACAGCTCCCATGAAGAGAACAACATTTGGATGCCTCAATCTTTTCATTATTTGAACCTAACGCATTTTGTAACATAATTAAATAACCACTTCCATCATCTAAAGATATGAATATGAATAAGTAGAATCAACAATCACACTGAAAATTACTGCTGGCATTTCAGAAGGAGACCATATTGATATGCCAATAATAATAAGGGGGAACAACATCACAAATAAAGCAACACATGTTTCGCATAACTAAAACCAGAATCACATCAAGGAGATTCTGGATTAGTCAATCATGACAAGAAAACAATTATTAATATAAACAAAGCAGTCTTACAGTCATTTAAAATTTTGCATGCTGCGTTCATAGTAGATCCTAGTTTAGACCCCATGTACAGGAAACATAAGACACAATAAGAAGGTTAGAATAATGGAGGAAATAAATTATGTAAGATACAATTTCGAATTGAAAATAAAATGTACAAACAAATGTAGATCGTGAGTAAAAGGGTCCCTATCTAGTGTATCATGGAGCATACTCCAGATACAGAGAAATAAAATTCTGCCCTACCTCTTTCTAAAATTAGAGCTAAAATCTTAGGAACAAAAAAGAACAAGAATAATGCAAATTTAAAATTGAACAAAAATGAAAGAGGCTTAGAAACTAAATAATTAAATGCCATTGCTATTGGATATTTGATTATAGAACAGACATATAACGTCATTGAAAGCAACTAAAATAGGCAAACACTGAATATCTTATTATCTTCAATGATAATGAAAAGCCAATCAACTGGAAGCATAATATGATTATAAGACAAGTCACAAAAGGAAAAGTATTGTACCTCACTTTTGAATTCTTCAAGTGATTCACCAGATATATCTTGATCTAGAAACCTTTTCACAGCAACTTCCTATAAACCAAAGCCAATGTGCCCTTAATATTTGAATTACACAACAAGACCAAAAATCCTAACGTATGAAAATAATCGCAAGGTAGCCAAGTAAGCCATCAATAAGCCTGTCAATGATATTGCTGAGCATTTTGCCTGGGTTTAAATAAATATTTAAGTACAAGAATACAAGGAACACATTCAATTATTAAAATTTTAAAAAAGTTACTTTTTTAGAGGGTGTAATCTTAGAGATTGATGGATCGGTGAATGAGAGAGGAAAGAGTGCTTGTGGTGGCTTGGTTCAGGCAAAATGAGGGAGAGAGGGTTTTAGGATTCTGTCAGAAACGTGATCCATGTCCTCCAATGATAGTGGAAATACTAGGTATCATCAAAGGCCTTGAAATCTGCTGGAGTGAGAACTACAACAAGGTAAGCATCAAAACAGACCGTATTGGTGTAATCAATACGATCATCAGAGACAAACTTGGAGGACATCCTTACAAGGACATCATCAAAAAAGCAAGGGAATTTCTCACCAAGTGATGTTTATTTGATTTGCATTATAGATATTTTATTTGTAAAACTGGCAGACTAGCCAAGGCAGCTCATAGATTGTTAATTCATGTTTGCATCTGTGATCAAATCCCACCCTGGCTACCTGAGGTGGGAAATTGATGAAGGGTTTTCTGTTGCAATTTTCTTTTGAGGAATACTTTCTTTTGATTAAAAAAAAAAAGCTTTTTTTTCTTGCACATGCATATACAAAGATGCAACTGTTGCAGTTACGTCTAGACAGTTTTCACACTAAAAGCCAGGATTACAAATTACGAAATTAGTCAGAGTCAAAGAAACCCACAGTTCCTCTCCATTCGCCATGGTACACCTCCCCATATGACCCTGCAGATTAAACATATGCCACATAAATGTAATCCAACCTTCATAAGGTTAAACTGGATAGAAGCAGGAAGGTATGCTTATATTGTATGTGCTATCATAAAATCTGCCAGAAAATGTGAATAAATCTAAAAGAAGAGTGTAAAGTTAATACCAAGTCCAATGCGCTCACCCAGCACCATTTCCTCCCATGGAATCTCATACTCAGCAACATCATCTAGTGCAGAATCAGATTTTGTGCTTCCATTACTTCCTGATTTATCAGATATCTTCTCACCTTCTGGGTTTTCTCCTAACGTACCGTGCTCTCCGTCACCACTACCCTTTGGCTCATAACCACCATCTGTATCTACATCACTCCGACTGCCCTGCTCATACTGTTTACTCACAGCTGCAGTGGTTGCAACAACAGCTGCAGCAGTAGCAGTCGCAGCAGCTGCTACAGGAAGCTCAATCTTTGAGTCAGTGCCTGACTTTGCCACAGCAACTACCATGGAAGATGCAACAACAGCAGCAGCTGCGGCTGCGGCGGCAGCAACTGGGACATTTTTCCCATATTTCACAGGACTAGCTTCTTCTTGTGATGGTGTGTGCTGACCGACTGCTTCCCTTGTATCAAGAGTAAGGTTGGTCCCTAAACCTTCTACAGGCTTAGAATGCTCTGACTGACTGCTAGTGCTTGCTTTGGAATGAATTCCGAAGTGAGGCAAAGGAGGCAAAATTTGAGCAGGACCTAGATTATCAGCAACCTTAGTTTCTTGCTGGATAATCCCCTCTTTAAGTTCATTTTTTCTTTCAGTCAGGGATGGGGCATTGAGTTGCTCATTATATATCTCAGAAAATAAGTTTCGAGGAGCAACAACACCACTTTCGAGTAAAACATTATGAAGCTTTTGAGCTAAGTTAGGATTATCTTTAGCAGCATCAATCATATATTGTGAAACATCTTTAACCTTCGTTCTATGAACTGCAGGGGAACTGATCCCTTCTGTCCAAGATGGTGATCTTGCATGTCCATGTGTATAATTAGGCCTGCTAGGAGTTTCCAGTGCAATCTTCTCAACATTGAGGGGACTTCTGAAACTATACAAGGGTCTCTTTGGTTCTCCCTTGCCAGGAGCAGGCACGCTTTTGTCAGGCCTGCTTTTGTCAGACCCGACAGAGGCAAACTGCTCTGATTTGTTTGAATTGTCCAATGCCACAGAGTCTGAAGTTTCTTCCATTGAACTTCCAATGCCTCTGCTGGACAATGCTATGTGAGAGGAACCAAGGTCTCCAGTTGAAGGAATGGAAAAATATATTGATTCATTATAGTCAATATGCGATCCAGTTGCATCCACTGGAATAAGTGTTCCAGGATCAGCCATTAGGTCAACAATGTACTCCCTGAAATTTAAATAAACATCTTAAAGGTAGAAATTTATGAGAGTTACACAAAGAAAGAGGCAATATTCACATATTACCCCTTTAAAGAAATTTTGAAAAATAGAAAAACAAATCCTACAACGGGAATAGCAAACAAATGGAAGATGCCAATAATACATTAAGATTCTACCCTGGAACAATCTGAGGAAGCAGAGGTATTGATTAAGAGTGACATCGTATTGAAGACAGAAAACAAGAAAAGCAACTCATACATGCAAATATTCATATGTTATAATGGCAATGCAACAAGAGCTATATTATAACAATCCTTCCTACTTGCCTATCATCACAAAAGCACAAATTCAATAGCATTACCTTATATCACCAATCCTGATAAAGTTCATTGCCACATCATCAGAACCCGTATATTGCTGTCCTTTGACCAATCGACATGGAATACCCACACAATCAGCTAAAACCTACGTTTAATATGCAGCAACAATTCATTAGAAATACAAGGACTTCTGAAAAGTGAAAACCTAATCCAGAACTACTGAAAAATATAGATTATCTTCAATACATAGCAGTGTGCAAGTTTTCTAGAGGAAAGGAAACAAAAACCTCATAGCATATAGTGGCAATGATTCTCTTAATATCATTTAATAAGAATTCATTCAAGTTACTGGAGGCTTCAACCGTTTAAGCATTCAGTTATTCTTAAATAACATTTATACCATAACAGAAACTGGTGGAACAAATACCTTAAATAACAATGCACGGTGCCGAGCCAATCCAATGGTCAGAGAACCAAGTGGCAAAACCATGCTACCAAGGGTTGATTTCAGACTATAACTAAGACTCTGCCATGCACTTCTCATATGTTGAGGATCTGAAACTGGTCCACCCATATAGTCAGCCACTAGTATGGCAAGCTTCTTCATCAAATTGGTATTTACTGCTACTTCAATATCTGATCTTGACTTGCTTGCTAGCTCTAGGGCTTTTTGCTCAAGTTTTAGCAAGTTAGAATCAGCGGCCCTATTGACTAAGACTGCTTCCCATGCGACACCATCTGAGATTGATGTTCCTTGCAGATCTATGAGGGAAGGCATTCTTGCAGAGACCGACTCAATTAAGATCCCATAAAGATCATAGAAACCATCTAAAATCTTGTCATCATATCCAAGAGCATTGTAATTCTGTCAAGCAGGGTTAAACCTACGATATTAGTTAGACAGGAATAGGGGTAGGGTAAACTATAGATGCAAGTAATCATAGGAACAAGTCCCTTTTGCATAAGAACCACTCAGTTAATGGACTTCCTGGATCCAAACAATATATAGCAGTATGAATAAACTATTCTGAAAAATAAGGACTCGTCATTTTATCAAAACATCTATGGATTCTTAAGAGGAAAATTACCATTGTTGACGTTCAGTGACAAATGAGGGTAACTAAGGAAACTTAAACAAATATTTTTTTGGATGAAACATCAGGATATCCACCAGCGGACCCAGTGACTAATCCCTTTGCTGGCTTGTAAACACCTCGATGGATAGGACAGCTAACCCAGGGTTTTAAAGCATTTCCACGCCCAAGGTGAGGATCAAACCCTCAATACTTGGTCAAGAGAGGATGAATCCCCACCCCTCAACCACACCCCCCAGGTTAAAACTTAAACAAATATAATATAACTGTATTTTGATAGGAAAACATAATTCTGGGAACTGCAGATATACGGTCAATGCAGCCTTTTTTTTCTTCAGTAATATGGCTTAACCAGAGTCTAAAACTTTAGACACTTAATTCGGAAGGAAAAAAACGTTGAGTTACTGGCATTTTCATCCCAGTAATACATTTATCACCGTCAAAGCTCTACCACCGGTCGTGACTTTCTATTGCTGTCTGTCATTGTCGGAAACAAGTCTAAAGGACAAAATTCAGGAGTAACGAGTAAATATGATAAAATTACATTTCTAGATCTCTTCATTTCTTTTCTTTCTTTCTTTTCTCCCAAGACCGTTTAATACAACTCCTCGTTTTCAGTGTATCCATAACCCAAATGATGCATGCACCACATATTCATCTGATTTTCTCAAATTCTCGAAGCGCCATGCATCTTCATGAATGACATAACAACCAAAGTTATTCGGGCCCATGCATTTATTCTTCTGGAACCACCACCACAACAACAGCAATGTGACTTCCACCCAAAGTCAATGTTGATAAAGTGAATAAACTAACTTACCCAGTATCGATAGGCCACAACTTCAGCTGGTGTATTGTCAGGGTCACAAGAGCCTAAACTGATTTGCTTAACAGCTTCAATTTGCACTGCCTCAGGATCCTCCTTTGCGCTCAACTCTAAAGCCAGTTGAATCTGATACTCTTCCTCTATTTCAGGATCCTTCGAAGTGCTAGAAGCTGTATCACACCTCGCAGAATCAGAAACAATATCCAGACCACCACTGCTCATTGAATCAGACGGTTCCATTCTCTCTCCTATTGCAAGGTTCGCCGATGGAGGACTAGGACTCTGCTTATTAGCAACTGCATGCAACCAATTCGAAAGCCCTGAAAAGGGTTTATTCTCAGCAATTTGAGGAAAACGTGAGTGAGAAAGCTTCTTAGGGGACGGGCTATCGTTGGACTTGTTTCCCCTCGATGAAGTAGACCCTTCAGTATCTTCTGATTGATGGGGCATAATATGAAGCTTCTTGAGAATGTTCTTCATATCTTTTCACTAAGATACCGTATTGAATGCTAAAGGAGTAGAACCCTCTCCATTGTCTTGGACCAAGCATGAAATCAAGATCGCAACGTCTCAGAGGAGGGGTATCGAATAAATTGTTCAGAGAGCCACGACAGAACTTCAAAATCTAAAGAACACTAAGAATCATTTCAACTTTCAAGCAGCACCCACCAAAGTGAAGCTAATCACGGTGATATATAAGCTTGAATTGAAAGGGAACAGACTCCTTTTCACAGGACAAGTAAATTCCACTAGGAAGTGGATCCTGAAATACCCAAACAACCATCCGAAGCTACCCCAATTTCAGAAGCTCTCTAAAGTGCGCGTCACCTTTACGAAGCAATAAAACACAGACTATTGCGCACCCAGATTGAGAAAAGAAAGGATCTTCCTTTTTGGTACTGGGAAGCAGAGCACAGAAATAGAAGAGACAGGAGGAGTACGAAGAGAACATTAAAGAAAAGAAAATAGAAGAGCAGGTAAGCAGAGGCTAAGAGAGCAGAGAGAGGGAGAAGCAAGTGGAAGAGTAGGGCCACCCGGAAAGGACCCACTTGCCTAAGAAGAGGCAGAAGGATTTCACGGTCCCAGGAAAAGGCGAACTTGGTGGGAAACACAAATACACAACTGGCTTTTTTCCATCACTCTCTCCCTCTCTCCCCCTCCCTCTCTCAGTCTCTCTCTTCTTTGAGAATTTTTAAAAGACGAGGAATTATGGGGGAATGAGTCAGAAAATTGGGATGAACAGTGAACTGATCGGAGATGATAGTGAATGAACTAAGTTGGGAAAAAATCATTGCTTTCAACACCAACCTTTGCTATTTGGAGCAAACCCGATCCCTGCCCTTTGTGGTAAATGCCTCTTTTTCTAAAGAAGCCAAATGGATTCTTAAGTGAAAGTGGCGAAAGCTCACTTTCATGCTTAAGCCTCCAACCTCCAAGGCTCCAAGTTCCAACCACATCCGTCAACCCCTTTTGACGCAGTCGTAGTATTGCTTCGTTTTTTATTATAAGAGACATTTGATGTTTATGATATATTCTCATATATAAGAGACACTTAAAAGTTGTCTCTATTTTTTATATTGATTTCTTATTTTATTTTTATTTATTTTGTCTCCAACTCATATTCTTTCTTCCTCCCACTTCTTTTTCTTTTAATAATTTAATTGTTCTCTCTCACACTCTCTCTCCTTATTAATGGAGGTATTGTTGGAAAAAATATTATACTTTTTATATATTAATTGTCCTCAACTAATTTTAACTGTTTTTTTATCAACGTAATTTGGTTATTTGCCTTTTATAATAAGGAACGGATGGAGTAATATATATCCTCTAAAGTCTATGCCCAGCCTTCGGTTTTGCATTCTAATCCTCCAGGATGACGATGATAACCATTAATGTCTCCCCGGCTTAATTAATAATTAACTACTAATGATCATAATTAGGCTGAAAGAGTCACAGCCGGCAAATTTAATCGGCCTGCATTCAGGTTAAAGTGGTAGTACAGTCAGTCGCAGTCTTCTTATCTCATAAGCAATGAGATGAGATACGGGCCCTATGAATTTTATACAACTATTTTATCACTTCCTCCTATCCTTTTTATTTGTCAACTCAAATAGCTAAATTATGCAAATCAAATAGTTTTGTTAAATATAATATATATGTGCAAAAAATACAATTTATTGCTGCAAAACACACTCTTATTCATGAAAAGTGTGAGTGGGAGAGAGAATGCATGGGGAAAAAAAAGAGAAAATGAGTAAAAAAATGAGAAAGACATATAACTAATTAAAAATAAACAATGCATTAGATATCCAGAAATCTAAAAAATATAACACTTTTTTGCCAGCCTCAAAAATACAACTTATTAAAAAAGCATCAAATCCATTCAAAAATTAAATCTTATGAAAAGAACCAAAACGAGTACTATATAGTATAGCAGTGTTACATACTCCTTCCACTTTTTGACATAAGAGCTAATTAACTAATTTAAATAGATTAGGAATACTACCTCCGATCTTTAATATAAAATCCTATTAGACTTTTATTTTGGTCTTAAATATAAGACCTCAATCCACTTTGTTTCTCATATTTATATTTTTTCCAAAGTAGCCCTTTTAACAATGATAGTTCTAGTCAATACACTTGATTAGCAAGGATATTTTAAGAAAGACAACACCTATTTAGGACAAATAACTAACTCAACTCACTTCTTTAATCTCCTCAAATTAGTCAACTGGCTCTTATAATTAGGACCGGAGGTAGTATTAGTTAAATCAATTATTTATAATAAATAGGTGTTATCTTTCTTAAAATACTCTTACTAATCATGTGTATTAGCTGTAATTACTACTCCTCCGGTCCTTTATATAGAACCCAATTGTTGAGTTAGTTTTATGCCTAAATATAAGACCCATTTCTCATATTTATCAATTTTTTTCTAAATTACCCCTATAGATACTCCTTCAATCATAACCAAATAGAAGAGGAAGAGGGGTATTAAGAAAGATGATTATGGTATTTTAAGAAAAACGTATCACATTTCTTATAATTAACTAACTTACCTAACTTCCTTAATCTAATCAAATTAGTGAAATGGGTCTTATATTAAGGACCGAAGGAGTATTTGATAAAGCATTTAACATGTATAAGTGCTTCAATAACCATGTTGGAAAAAATGAATAAATATTATAAACAAAATAAATTAGAGTCTTACATTTAAAACTAAATTGAATGTTAAACCAACTCTTTTACTACTATTAAGGATTGGAGAGTAGTTGATAATAATTAAGTTTAAAAAATAGTGACCGGACATGCGGAACATATCGCCTTTATTTTTTTTTAACTATTAGCTGGGCATTTTTATATAAAATAATTAGAAGAAATTGGGGATAAATCTCTAATTAGAAATTTAATTAGCAAATAAGATTTAAGGATTTGCGCAACTTAACTTCTATTTTGTACAACTTAACTTTTTCTTATGTAATTTATCTTCATTTGTGTGCAATAATCTTCCTTTATGCAATGCACAACTCAATTTCTCTTTATGCAAATGAAATTCTCTTATGTGCAAGTCATCTTCTCTATGTGTAAACTAATCCCTTATATTCAAGTAATGTTTTGTGTAAATCATCTTTCTTTTGTGCAACTTACCTTCCTTTATGTGCAACTAATCTTCCCATGTGCAATCAATTATCCTAGAAACTATTTGCCAATTAAATTTGTAATGAGGGATTTATCCCCAATTTTTCCAAATAATTATCAAAAATTTAAAAAGGATATTCGTTTTTATTATTTACTTTATGTTGAAATGTACAAAAATAATATAAAATTTATAAAACTTAACTAATAAAATAAGTAAAAAAAGCAAAAGTACACTTTTAAATCCTCCGATTTTATACAAAATTTAAATTTAATATAGTGATATTATAAAGTTTTTAATCTCTAAAACTTAACACCGTTAATCCAATTAAAAAGACTGGAAAATAATTTATAAAATTTAGAAATTAAACTAAACCTAACTTATGAATAATGCATGTAATTCCCTTCCCCTCCACTATTAAAAAGAGGGGGAAATGCAACTCTCTCTAGTTTCTATACGTGGATAATTTTAGTATCTGAATTTAATTATTTTGGCATGACAAGCCTCGTTAGATTGTAGCTTTAAAGGCTATTGTTCGTGTTGCATTTTCCCCTCACAAAGGCTGTAGTAGACAGATATTTTGTTCATGTGCTCTCAACTCTTAGTGCTAAGAACATTGTGCTTTTCGTTTCCACTTTGACCCAAAACAGAAAAGAATAAAACGTCCTTATTCCTGCATCAAAAATATATCTCCAGTTCTATTATTTCTAACACACACGCATATATACACGTATATCAAGTTGTTGTCTTAACAAATAATATCTAATATCTAGTGTCCATAGTAAGCTGCTCTAATAATAATGTCACCCCTCATACATAGATGAGATCTCATACTTGAGTCTAGTATTGTCATGGTTGTGTTTTTTTAAAAAAAAATCTTAATAAATTTTTTTATATACTACCTCCGCTCCTTAATATAAGATTTTATTTGACTTTTATTTTGATCCTAAATATAAAACCCCAATCCAATTTGTCTCTCATGTTTATGTATTTTTTTTAAGATAGTCTTTCTAACAATAATAGTTATAGCCAATACACTTGATTAGTAAGGATATTTTAGGAAAGACAACACATATTTATCACAAATAACTAACTTAACTTTTTTTCTTAATCTCCTCAAATTAGTCAACTAGCTCTTATAAATATGACCAGAGGTAATATTTGATTGTTGCTATTCTCCACAATTTCTATTCTCAAGCATGATAAGATTTTTTTAAAAAAAATTTTGTGTATCATGTTTTTATTTGAGACCAAAAGAAAAAGTTATTGAGATGCTACGCCAGTGTTGAGGTGGTTACTAAAATACTGTTTATCGAAAAGAAAAGGAAACACAATTTTCTCCTGTTGGAATTTAAATTTATTTATTTTAAGTGATTTTATATTGTTCGGTATAAATATGAAAAAAAATCTCATCACGAATTATGTAAAAACATTTCTTTTAATTGATCACCAGGTTTAATATTTTCCTAAACTGATAAGGGTCCTTAGACCCTAAATTGATTCTTAAACCAATTTTGCGCCACGAACAAAGAAGGGCCATGGCTTTGGTATGCTCGGAAAGATAGCATATGGCATTACCACAAGGCATCCAAATAAACAACTGAAAATTGTCATCAATAAAGAGAAAGGACGTTATTAGACAATGCGAAACCTACCAATACAAAATATAAGAAGCATGTGTTATTTCTTTTCTAAATTTTCCTTATATAATTATGTTATTTTCTCTCTTACTTAAATTAAGCTTTCACGTTAACGTAGGAATTAAAGACTTTTTTCCATACGTTGAGAGGATTTAACATCTTCAATATATATGCGTATCTTGTCCTACTCTTACTACCTTGACTAACATGGTGAAGAAAAATTAAAACTTTTGCGTTAAGATTGATCTAACCTATCTAAAAAATTTTTTAATATAGGTTCAATATCTTAAAATATTTTGTGATACAATTTTGTTCTTAAAGTATTTTTAAAAGCAATTTTACTCTTAAAATATTTTTTCATGATTAATTTTCTTGTTATCTCCCAGAGAGTGTTTAAGTGAACGTATATTCAACACTTAAAAAAAATAATAAAGTGACATTCAACATTCTAAAAAAAAAATTTAGTATAGAGTTCATTTTTTTTGTCACTCCTTTTCATATTTTCAAGACTCACCATGCATATATTTTATAATTCTAGTAATCATCCTTTAATATTCTAATTGTCAGTTTTTTCCGATTGTTTTTGTAGTCATCTTAAATATTTTTCTAAACTTATCTTCCATATATGTTGTGTATAAAAAAATCCTCCATATATTTTTAATCCCAATTTTTAATTATATTTAGCACCGAGTAAAAGCTTCTCAATATTTTATAAAATTAATGGTTGAAAAAGGCAAACAATAAACAGAACAAAAAAACAAAGTAATTGGTTATCTTTCTCTTTAGGCTTTGATTGTTGTTGTTGGAAAGATGGAAAAAGTAGATGCATGAATGGCTGCAATTATGAATTTTATGGAAATGGCTTTTAATGTTGACCATTCGATTCTATTGGGCAATCCATCCCCCATGTGGGACACTCTCCTCTTTCTCCTCCCTCCTACGTCCTACTGAAAGTGACCCCTAATGAAGCCCTTCTCTCCAAATGCCTTCTATTTCCCTCCATATTAGGGCTTTCTGTTGTTTTCTTTTTAATTTTTCCAAAAATTGTCGTCTCCACAAATTCTCAAT